TAATCTCATGAACTTGTTTATCGTTTTCTCCAACTTCAAGTTGAAGCCCATGGCTGGCTGATGAAATTGGCAAAATAAAAACAAAATAAAAATGCCATCTCATTTAATCTTTACAATAACCCTATGAAGAAGGAACCATTATTATCCTTTTTTTCCCCCTCAAGATGAGGACTAAGGTACCTAGAAGACAATGCTTTGCCCAGGGTAGCGCAGCTCAACCTATCAATATTCTTGGTAATTCAGTACTCAAGTGGATCACTGAGCAATGGTCCTTTTGATCTCATATGGTTGATTGTTCTAGGGAGTGCATTTCCATGATATTATTTTAATGTTCTGACTTCTCAGTTTCTTCCCTAGCTAATTTCCAAAGATCTAATCCTCTACCCTACCTTAGTCATTTGTTCCATAGTAATTCCATAGATCTTGTCATTACCAATAGCTGTATCTTCCTGATCAAGTATTCAACTCCCAATAAAACCACAAGAAGACTGTGGCCATATATAAAATAAAAGTTTCAAAAATATTCCTTTATTAAAATTCAAAAGTTATGTAGACAAGAGAATACTTACTACTGTTATTTGCCTTCATTTCTTTCAACTGTTTGTTTGTTATTTCTAATAGAAGCCCAACTGAAAGAGGTTGAAGAAATGTTGTGGCAAGAAGGCTTATCTGAAATAGCACTGAGCAGCCCCAGTGAACAAATTGCCTATTTGCTGGCAGAGAGACGCACATTCTTAAGGAAACTGGAACTTGCAGACCCCAAGTCAGAGGCACACAGATCCATGAGCAGTAACCTACAGAAAGAATTTCCACAGGTATTCCTAAATTAACTAGATAATTGAGTAAGAGCTTGTACGCTTTAAAAATACATTCCACCATTTAATCATTTGCTTATGAAAATATTAGGAAACCAAGTTTAACAGTGCTTCTGAACATAGAGTTTGGAGTTGGATGGACTTTCTCTGATACTCATATGACCTGGAACAAGTTAGTTACCTTTTCTGAGCCTCAGTCATATGAGGACATGTATACAATCTGGGATTGATTCTACTGGTCTACAAGATATGATGAAATTGAAATCATTCACTGTATAAAAAGCTCCATAACAGTGACTGGCGCTTATTAATTAGCTATTGTTGTGTTTTCTATTTGTTGCTTTCTACTAGTGGAGATGGAACAAAGTAAAATTACACACAGTCTGGACTCTCAAGGAACTTTATAATGGGGGGGCAGTAGTTATAGCTCTAGAATACAGGAAGACAAGAGGGCTGAAAAAGCTCAAGGAAAGCGAAGTCATACAGGATGATGATCAGAACGGTTTCCAAAAGGAGGTGGTGTTGAGTAGGGTTTTAACAACTGAACAGGTGTTATCTAATGAAGAAGCTATGAAAGACTTTCTGGCAGGGGGAACAGAGTGTATATAGTATAGGCTGGGTATAAATGCTGGGAAATGTGGCAGGAGATATTTTCAAGAACTATATCAGTGTGTGACTCATGCCCAGTGAAGGAGTTTAGACTCAGCATCTAACTTGCTTCTTGGACTGTACTGTTGTTAATGCTGTTAGTGGCCCACAAGTCAATTCTGACTCATGGCAACCTCATGTGCTACAGAACAGACCTGCCCAAATAGGGTTTTCTTAGTTACAGTCTTAATGGAAGCAGATTACTAGGTGATTTCCCACTCTACTGTGGGGCCGTTTTGAACTGTCACCCTGTGAGTTAGCAGTCAAAAGCAAACTGCATAAGCCTTCCGCATAAAAATGGTTTTGAACTATTCATTGGTTATAGAATGTTTGGAAAGTCACTAATTTAAGGGGAGAGTAACAAGATCTAATTTGTGTCTTAGAAACATAACTCTGGCAGCAGCAGAGGGATGGGTTGGGTAGGGAGCCAGACTGAAAGCAGGAGACCTACAGAGGAATTACAGTAATATGTCAAAGAAATAAGCTATGTCAAAGAAAACAACCAAAACCAAGGCTTGGAGTAGAAGTGGAAAAGAGAAGATAAACTAAGGAAACAGAATGTTTAAAACCACTCACTATGATGGACATAAAGTCTTGGATGATGCAGTCTATTCAGTCACTCACGATCAGACTCTAGTTTCCCACTCACAGACATACAGACGTAAAACATACCCAAAGGAGTTTTTATTATAAAATATAACCCGTGAAATTTGTGTTGCTCCCCAGTTACATTTCTCTTTGCCTAATGTTAGTGGCTTCAACATAAAATAATCAAGCGAGTCACTTTTGAAAAAAAATCATTTTATTAGGGGCTCATATAACTCTTATCACAATCCATACATACATCAATTGTGTAAAGCGCATTTGTACATTCATTGCCCTCATCATTCTCAAAACATTTCCTCTCCACTTTA